TTCAGGCAGCTTACTGGGTTAAGGATCCAGTCTGAGACAGTGAAGAGGCTTCCTCTCCTTTTGCCTTTGATCCATTTAAACGACCTCATCTGAACCAGCTCCAAAGTTCTGCTGGGCTCAATTTCTTTGCCTGTAAATAGCTTTTCATTTCTAGCTAACCATATTGACCAGATAACAGAGAACCAAATGCATTCCCAACCCCCCCTCACCTCTTTGTTATTAAATATAAAGGGGTGTTGTTCAAACACACTCCCACAATCTCTATCTAGCACCTGCATACTACCCCACCACCTGTAGCAGCTATTCCATATCCTCAACGCAAAATTGCAATGAATAAAGAGGTGGTCAGAATCTTCACTTACAGAGCCACATATAATGCATTTACAGTCTGCCATGTCTTGTATGATTCCCCTCTTCAGCAGGTTCATCTTTGTTGGGATTTTATCTTGCAGCACTTGCCATACAAATACAGAAATTTTGCTCGGGATGTACTCCTGCCATACTTTACTTAGAACTGGTCTCTGCTGGGCTCTCCTGTAATCCCTTGTCAATACTTGGTATGCTGATTTTGTTGTGTATAGTCCTTCCTTGCTGTGGACCCAGACCCTTTCATCTGATTTTCCTCTATTTATGTTGATGTTTCGGATTTCAGCCATGAGTGCCCTCTCCTCTTGCTCCTCCCAGCTGAACAGATTTCTTCTCCACTTCAATTCCCACTTCCATGAGTCATCCTGCCAATTTCCCATTTGGGATATCTTTTTATCTTTTCCTGCAGAAATTAGATATAGTCTGGGAAATCTGTTTGCAAGACTCTCTCCCCCACACCACTCATCCCACCAAAAGCTCGTGTCTTCCCCGTCTCCCAATCTAATTTCAAGCCCGTCAGCAAGCCATCCTTTGTTGTTCTCTTCCGCATCACTTACCCTACATATATCCCTCCACCATGAAGACCCGTGATTGAAACCCTCCCTCAGCCAATTATAACTTGGTTCCCCTACCTTCCCATACTTCTCTAGAATAACCTTACCCCAAAGCCCTTTGTCATCTCTCACTAGTCTCCCCCACCACTTGCCTAATAAGGCGAGGTTAAACTTCCTAAGATCCTTAACTCCCAGACCACCTAGCTGTTTTTCTTTGCATACATTTTCCCATTTAACCCAATTAATCTTCTTCCTCCCCTCAGTCCCGCCCCACAAAAATTTCCTGCGAATTTTGTCAAGTAAAAGAATTGTACCTTTTGGGATCATATACATTGACATCCAGAAGACGGGGAGACTTGACAGCACTGAGTTAATAAGCGTAATCCGACCCCCCAGAGATAAGTATCTGCCCCTCCATGAAGCTAGCTTTCTTTCAAATATTTCAATCAGAGGTTTCCAAAAAGCGGTCCTTTTGCTGCTTCCTCCCACTGTGATACCTAGGTATTTTATTGGCAAAACACCTATTTTACAGCTCAGCACCCAAGACATTTTGTTTATCCAAGCCTCCTCCACGCCAATACCCACTAATTGGCTTTTGTTGAAGTTGATTTTCAGGCCTGAAACCAGTTCATATGCTCTCAAAATTCCTTTCAATGCCCACACATTTTCTTCTGTAGCTTTGCCAAAGAGGATCGTGTCGTCTGCATACTGTAAGTGTGAGATTCTAAAGCTTTTATTACCCACCTCCACGCCTTCCAGCTTCCCCTTTCTAACAGCCTCTGAAACTAGCCCGTTCAGGCCCTCTGCTACAATCAAAAATAGAAGCGGAGATAAAGGGTCTCCTTGTCTTAGACCTCTTGACACTTTGAATTGCCTACTTGGGCTGCCATTAACTAAGATTGATACCAGGCTGGATCGTAAACATTCTTGGATCCACAGTCTCCATTTCACACAAAAACCCATCTTCTGCATCATGTGATCAAGAAAGGACCAACTTACTTTGTCAAAAGCTTTTTCGAAATCTATTTTAAACAGGAATGCTTTCTTCTTTTTCTTTTTTGCTTCGTCAATCACCTCATTAGCTATAACAACGCCGTCCATCAACTGTCTTCCCTTCAAGAAAGCCATCTGTTGCTCCCCGATTAGGTTCTCAAGCACCTTCTTCAGCCGATTAGCTAGAAGCTTAGCCAAGATTTTATACATCGCTCCAACGAGTGAGATAGGTCTATATTCCTCAATCCGAACTGGATTTTCAACTTTTGGAACCAGGACAACAAAAGAAGTGTTTAGACCTCTCACCAGTTTGCCATTTGCCTGGAATTCCTGTAGGAACCTCACCACATCAGCTTTGATTACATCCCATTCTGCTTTGACAAACCTGAAATTGAATCCATCAGGACCTGGGGCCTTCATGCTGTCACATTCTCCTACTGCTATCTTTATCTCCTCCTCAGTAAAGGGAGATGTGAGAAAATCATTGTCTTCCCCAGTGAGTTGCTTGAGATACAACCCGTCAAGTCTTGGTCTGTCCTTATCCACCCCAGTATATAATTCCTCAAAATAGCAAGCAATTTCCTCTTTCATTCTGTTGGCGTTCCTGATTTGATCCCCTTTTATCTGTATGCTATTCATTTCCGTCCTTCTCCATCTGCCCTTCACACAGTTATGAAAGAACCTGGTGTTTGCATCCCCCTGAGCCACCCAAGCTTTCCTTGATTTCTGTTGCATCATGTTCTCCTTACTTTTCAAACTCTCCCAAATCTGTATGAATGCTTCTCTTCTGCTCTCAATTTCAGACTCTGTCAGATGCGATTCCTCACCCTTCATGTCAATTTTGGCAATATCTGCAGTAGCTTTATTTATTCTGAGGTCAAGAGATGAAATCGGATTTTTGCTCCACTTCCGTAAGGCTTCCTTGGTTGTCTTCAGCTTTTCTTTGAGACAGAAACCTGCCCAGCCTTGTACTTGGGTGTCATTCCACACTTCTTTGATCAGCTTACTGCAGCCTTCTTGATCTAGCCAAGAATTAAAGAATCTAAATGGTTTTGGCCCCCACTCGATGGTCTGGTGTTTTAGCAGAATTGGGCAGTGATCAGACACAGTCCTGCTCAAACCCCATTGTCTAGCCTCTCCCCACTTCATTAACCACTCTTCTGAAAGAAGGAATCGATCGATTCTGCTCATATAATTGCCACTTGCTTGGTACCATGTGTATTTCCTACCCACTAACGGGATATCTACCAAATTCAAGTCTTGAATAAAGCTATCGAATTCTCTCATATCACTGGTCACCCCTGAGCTTCCTTTTCTTTCCTCTACCTTTCTGACAGTGTTGAAGTCTCCCATAATGCAGATTTTGCCTCCCTCATTCTCAATTACTCTTCTTAACTCTGCCCAGAGAGATCTCTTACCAGATAAATGGCATGGAGAGTAAACGTTGATCATTATAATCTGTTCGTTATCTGGGCACCACATCCCTTCCAAACCTATAAAGTGCTCGCCCTCCAAAATTCTTGTGGCATTAAAAACTTTAGAATTCCAAAAGCAAGCTAATCCACCCGACATACCCACCGCGTCCTTGGCAACCCATTTCACCTCCTCTGTGCCCCACACTGATCTGCTAATTCTGCTATCTATCCCTTCCAGCTTAGTTTCTTGGATTGCTAGAAAGTCTACCTTTTCCTTCTTAACTAACTCCCTTAAGTGTCTCTTCTTCCCTACCCCGCCCAATCCTCTAATGTTGTAAGCTAAGGCATTCATAAATCAACAATATTGACCTTCAGATCCTTACTCGCTGGATTCGGGATCTCCGATTCCTTTGCTTCTCTGTCTCGTTTCTCCATTCCTTCAAGGTTCCCAAGAATCACGGCCTCATCCTCTGCGGTGACCCCAATTTGCTTTGCAAAGTCCCAAAGCTCTTCTGCTATTCTACGGCTTGGATGGTCCTTTATCAACCTGTTGCAGTTTGCTATCCCACTATCTCCAACGGATCCTCCTGCTACGGGGTAGCTTGAGTTCGGCATGAAGCTCGGCATCTCTTGACTTGGGGCTTTTTTTGAGCTAGCTCCGTTCTTGGTTTTCTTCTTATAATTCATGAAACCCAAGATGCTGGCTCTGTTATACACTGATCTGCACATTAACGTCTTCTTCTTTTTCTTCAACCTGTTCGATTTGTTTCTTGAGGTCGTCCCTTCCTTGCCACTTGGGACCCTCCGCTCCTCACCGGATCCCTCTGCACTTTCTAGATCTGTCGGAGAAGATAAACTTCCATCCCGAGACAGCCCGTCTCTCTTTTTCCCTTTTTTTGCAAATGGGTTTTGACCGAGACATCTGATATCTTGTTGTGCCTCCAGCTCATCTTGCTTACTACTACCCGTTGCCTCACAAACCCGAGGCTCTTCATTCGGGCTTCTCAAGTTTTGCGGTGAATGGGCTGGATGTTGGTTGTTGGGCTTAGCCCAACCAGGCCTTGCATCATCAATTGATACTTCAATTGGGTCTGAGCTGATCCGATTTTGTGACTCGAGAGCCGGGGATTCTTCCACTTCTCTGCTTCCCACGTCACTTCCTGCTAAGCACTCCTCGAGACTGTCTGCAACAACTTCGACTGACTCCTCTTCACCCAACCAGCTGTAAAAGATCTGATCCTTCTTTTTCTGACATACTTCATCTTGTAAGTCACCTTCAAATTCAAAATGAGCCTCGGAATCTGGAATGGCAGACGCCCGTTTGTCCTTCCAGTTCTGGACTGGTGAATCCCCAACGGTGTTCCCGTCGTCGGCTTTTGAATCCCTGTTATCTTCTCGGTCTTCCTCACCTGGTTCCTCCTCCGCAGTAAAGCCTTCCGACCAGGATTCTTCATATTTCGATTCACTCTTCATGCTTGGCAAAAAGTCGTGTTTCATAGAGAAGAGACTGTTAGCCCCTTCCTCTTCCATGAACATGAGATTGAAATGGTCTCCATTAACTTTTATCTGCCTTTTAACTGAGATTGACTCCATAATCGGCGTGGAGATTAGTATTCGAGCAACGTCGAACCTTCTTTTCTTGCTTGTGTTGTCATCCAGGCTGACAAATTTCCCCCATGCCGTCACCATAGACTCAAAAAACTCTGGCCCCCATGCATGTATAGGTGCTCCCAGGCACTTTAGCCAGACAAACCTTTCTTTTGCTACTGTTGTTGGAGTCCATGGCTTGACTTCTGCGAACCATTGGCCTAACCAGCTAGCTGCACCATGAACTAGTTCTTTCAACTCCGTCTTATCCTCACAGTCCAAAAGTACCAATTTGCCTCCCATAGCCCTTAACCGGCATGTAAAGTAGCCTTCCATGTAGAATCTTTCCTGGAGGATTGGAACTATTTCAACAGAGTGGACTACACCAACATAGCAGTCTCGGAGCCACTCGAAATCTTCTTCCTTGACATTGTACTCCATCTCCACCCGTGCTTCCCCATCCTTCTTCTTTCTCCAAGCTTGCTGTTTGATCTCTTGTTTCAGACTTCCACCAAGAGCTCTGCGATCTTTGTGTTGTTCGGCTGACAATGTCTCAACCCGAGAGTCCTTTTTATCCAGCCCCCTGACTGCGTCTGCATAGGATTTCCCCTTTACCACTTTATTTGGAGGAGCCGTGTTCCTATTTCCCTTCATCTCTCGAGCTTCTGCTGGATATTTAGCTAGATTCACCCAGATTTTGATACCGTCGATCATTATCTGATCTAGCTGTCTTTCAAGAGCCTTTGCATTTTTTACCTCTAGGAATCTTACAAAACCAAACCTTCTGCCATTCCTAGATTTTCTATATGGACTATACACTGCATATACTCTACCGTGTCTGCCGAAAGTCTTCCACATCTCTTCAGAGCTCCAGTCATCGGGGAAGTTAGTGAAGAAGAAGGCCGTGGCTTGTTTATACATTCCTTCGTCGTATCCCCGCTCCACAAACATCCTCTGATTCCTGTTACCCCTTCTTTGGCTGATGCCCCGATCTCTTTGTTGCCTACTGTACTCTATGGGACGCTCAAACGTTCTGCCCAGTGCCGTCCGTCTAGACCGTGGCCGGTGCCCTTTGCCTGATCCCCTGTACCTCTCTCTGCTTCTGCCTCTCATTTTTTTCCCCCCCCTCTCTTTTTTCTCTGTGTATTTAAGATTAGATTTGATTATTATCATTTAAATATATTAAGATTGTTGATTGATTACTTTTAAATAAAATTATTTTGTAAAGCCTATTTAAAAGTTAATTTAATTTTAGTTGACATAAGCTGGATTTCATTCCCACTTTCTTCCTCTCTTGAATCCTTGATTTCTTAACAACATCATATTGGTCAAATCAGAATTCTAAAGCCACAGACCGTCTTAAAGCTCTATATGGTTTTATCGTTAGATTTTTGATTCATTCCATGGCTTTAGAACTTATTCTTTTATCTTTTGGTCATTTCTGTTATCAATTCTGCCAACAGGGTGGGGTTTAATAACCTTGTTAATTATAATTGTGAACCTAGGCTATATATACTATAATTGAAACTTGAAATAGAAGTTCCGTTTGAGAGAAGGTATTCTAAAACATTTGCGGAAACTGGAGAGTGTTTGGCAAAATTTTCAATACAAGTACATTTAGAGAAAAAAAGTCATATACTAGTAAATGCCAAAAGTTACAAATTCTCTCTAATATTTTCACATTGAAACAAATTGTTACTAAAAGAAAATAGGTTAAATCTCCATTTTGGTCCCTGAACTATTGTACGGACCCCTGATTTGGTCCCTGAACTAAAGAAATCCCTGATTTAGTCCTTAAACTATTGTACGGACCCCTGATTTGGTCCCCACTGTTTATAATTTGGCCTAAGTTTGTCCTTGAACTATTGTACGGACCCCCAATTTGGTCCTTACTGTTTACAATTTCGCTCCAATTTGGTCCCTAAGCTATTATTTAACAGAAGGACCAAGTTGGGGTTAAATTGGTAAACAGTATGGACCAAATTGGGCATCCGTACAATAGTTTAGGGACTAACTTGGGAGTCCGTACAATAGTTTAGGGACCAACTCAGGGGTCCGTACAATAGTTCAAGGACCAAATTAGGGA